TGTATTATATATAGTATATGCTAACATTGTAACCCATTATGGCTTTTTCGGACCCTATTCTAAAGGGGTAACCCTTAAAGGTAACTTTAGGCACACGGTTTGAGTATTTGGTCTAGTTATTTCTCTTGAATGGGTCCCGATCCTTTAGGAATACCGTGAAAACAGTGGTCTCAAACGTTATTTTAATGAAAAATATTGAAGTCGTTTCATTAGTTTCGCAGCTCACTCGTTTAAACTGTCAAACACCAAACGGTCACCGGTGACCGCAACCTATTGTTCTATAATTGTGTCTGCAAAACCGGTACTCGACGAGTTAATGTAATTAAACAAATAACAATATAGATAATGACATCGTACAAACAACAGTAGATATAGAAAAAAATGCCTATTTTGGCTCGTGTACAACCTGCCCTCTACGTTTGATTCATCCACTCCAGCACCTGCCGACCTACTAAACTCTGCTATTGTGAAGCTAGATATTAATTTAGTTTGTGTCTATGCTCGTTCATGCATTCAGTCTAGATAATTTTGTGACGAGATACTGTTAACTATAAACTGAATTAAAAGTTTTCTGTATCAATAAGTTTTCATGCTTCATATCGCTTTTAGTGGGATAGGCCGACGTAGAGGTTTTTTTAAGGTGGGAAAATCATCGAATGACTGCTCCCCCCTGGGTGAGGCGGGAGGGAATGTCAGACTCTTACTGACTAAAAACCACCCCGTTCCTTCTCCTGCACGTGGTGCCGGAGCCCCGGTAACCCGTTAGATTCTCCGCGACTCCGAATCGGAATCGGCCCTGTTGGGCCCCATCTGTGGTGGTCTGATGGCTCTTTGAGGCGCGCGCGGAACGCGACGCGCCGTACTCGGGTCTGTTTCTGGACGGACGGGGAGCCACGCGCTTACGGTGGCCGGAGATCGTCTCGAAATCCGCGACGCCCTGTGTGTGCTTCCCGATGGCTGGGTTGCGAGAAGGCAGGAAGGCAGCGCTTCGCTGCCTCACGCGTTCCGCCTCCTCCTTAGCTAGCACAACTGCTTCGTAAAAGAAGGAGACGGCATCCCCGTCCCCCTCGCTCTGCATCATGACCTGCACTAGGCCCGGACGCGAGAAGTCGCCATCGCCGATGAGGGCACGGCGGTGCTCAGCCCACGCAGGGCATTCCGCTACAACGTAGAGAAGGTTTAGGAATACTTTTAATTCATTTAGTTGTTGGTATTCATCATTATGTGTATGTTTAGTATAGGTAGGTAAAACAAATAAGATTATTTGTTCCAAATTCCAATACTAATAAAATCGCTCTTATAAATACATCAGACAAATTGAATTTGATCGGTCTGAGGAGAAAAGAGAAATAATATTACAAAGCAGCTGGATAGGCAATGAAATGTTTGTGTTTTATGTCCGTTTCTGTCTGGAGTGTTTCCGAGGCATTGCACTTTCTGAGAGAACTTGTCTGAAGCAAAGGCTTCAAGTGCTCTTACCTATTTTATGAATATTTTCATTTCATATCCAAGCATCGTCGGATTGTGTCTACGTTTTATTTTCTTTTAAGATTTACATTCCGTTTATGCTTTCAGTCTTCGAATGTTACGTAAGTGTACGTGTTACGGAGTGTTGGGAAAAATATGCAGAATATTCACAACAACATTGCTATTTCGAAGTAGTTTACATTCAATATGTTTTAATGCACGACTGCCAAGCACAAAGCCCCAAATCTGATCTGCAGTTGGCTAGTGTTATCGGGTTTTTCGTTTTCGATGTTCTCGATAGGAATAGTTTTTGTGGCTCTTTTACGGTAATAGACTCGACCCTAATACTGATAAGTGATAATAACGTATTTTCTTTGCACCTTGACCTATTTCTTCAGGGGAAGTCAAGAATACGTTACATGTTTGCCGTACGTGTTGACAAGGGCTAGTCGCAAAATTCTGAGAAATACGCGACTGACAGATATTAAATACTTATTTTCTATGGTCCGTATCACGTGGACAGAGTACTGTTCATACCAAATAATAAATGCTCTTTTTTAATACCTAAGTATACCTCTCAAGAGCATTAGTCTTGTTCGAATTCGTCCTGCATCATACAATCGAAAACTCGACACAAGTAATGCCGCGGGTAAAAAACGAGTATGAAATATGGTAATATGTGCAACATTGCAATTATGAAATAAAACACACACCGCTGCAATTGTGAGGAATTGAGGATCCACCGGATGCTGTTCAAAAGGAAATGTTCTTATTATAATGATGAGAATATTGACTACCACCTTTTCAATTGATAAACGAGGGGTCGACTAAAGATGATACTTTTTGAAACCCTTTTTTATTAGACAATGGCTTTATATTTTTCATTTGAAATAAAATTGTCCCCGGTACTGGGGAGTAGGGTCACGAAATGAGAGCGTAATGCACACACAATTACAGCCTGTCCGGAGAAAAGTACGAACTTTGCTCAAACAAATCGGCAGGCTGTTATGTTGGACGATATTCAATTGGGTAGTGTCTTCGGTAAAAAAATAATAACACTTTCCATTGGTTGATTTTACGGTATAATTGGGATGATGACGGAGTATGAAAATTAGCTAATTAGTCCCGTCAGTTAGGTAATGAAAAAATATTAGACACGTATGTTTTATTATGTCGTATTCTGAAATAATACTTAGATAAAACGAATCAAAGTTTAGTAGTGGGGGCTAAGTCGTCATTTCTACGCATAAAATGTACATAGAAGTGACGTCACGTAACATTTCAAACCAATATATCGCTGAAAGTATAAGTTTATGAAAGAAAATAATACAATCGTGTCTAATGATTTAAAATAACCTACCAGAAGAACATTAAAATAAAAATTCGGCATCTACCCTATTAACATTCGTATTTTGATTGGATATTTACTTACTTTGAAATTTCATAAAAGTAATGAATATTGGAATTTCCCTATTTTATTTCAAGTTACAGAACCTATCATATCGCATATTTGTTTTATCTGTACGTAGTGTGACTCATTATGTTGTGTTTCAAGTCAATATCATAATTAATTTTCAAGTTGGTACTTAATTTTATTCATAGATCAAAACCCTGTATTTCAATACATCAATACTGAATAGCCATACCATACCAGTGAATAGCGACAGAAATATCTAAAGAAAATCTTGAATAAATATTTCTTTTCACTGAGAAGAACGAAGTATTAATTAATATCAGCGACCTGCTCCAGTTTCGCGCGGGTGCTGTTTCTCGAGTTCCCCTGTGAAAACCCAGATACTTCATATTATAAAATACAATTACAAAAATAATATTTTAGTTTGTTTCTGTACCTGAGTTACGTCTTAAGCATTTTGTAAATAATTTTTATTTAATCTTGTAACCTTTCACTGGTGGTTCCGCGTGCGAAGAATTTTAAAGGTTTACCTCAAGATCGTTCTAATCCCGTAGGAATATCGAGATGAAATCTTCTTCTTCTTCTTCTTTTGTTAAACGTTAGGATTATCTCCTGTGTCGTGGGTGCGTTTACAAACATACAAGTTCACATACACATGACACCCAGACTCGGAACAACAATTTGTGGATCACACAAAGTGTTGTTCCGTACGGGAATCGAACCCGCGACACGTTGCACGGCAGCCGGTTACCCAGCCACCGCACCAACCGTGCAGAAATGAGAAAAACAAACAAATTTCAACTTTATATATTAAGTATATAGATATGAAAATATGTGTTTTCTTGTACACCTGGATAATATGATGTTATGTCACTTAATAATTTAAAAGAAACTGACCTTTTTATTTAGCAAGGCGAGTTCGTGGTGTCACGCATAGCGACATGCTTTTTACTGTAATGTCAACACTGGCCAGTTTCATTTGTTAATTATTACCTTATTCTACATTCGTTTCGTAAAAAAATACTGCAGTAGGCAGGTACGTAATAGAGAGCATGTGATTTATTCTAGAGAATAATCTATATACAAATTATTAGTTATTGTGTTGCTAACCGTAAATCTTAAGAAAAGCTAGTACCCATTTCGTAATTTTTTTATTCTAGTTATTATATTTTATTGAAACATCAGTCTTTAAGGAATCAAAGCTACGTCAAACAGATGAGCTAATTTAAAATAAAGTTCAGATGATTTTGATAGATAGGCTTTCAGTTGTTATTTCGTTGCTCTTGAAAATTGGAAATACCCGTAGAATATTAAAAAAAACGGGACACGGTATATAAACTTATGATCATTTTATTCGGAGCCTGTACGAATTTCCTGATTATTATGTATGAAGAAAGAATCCATTTTGAATTTTTGATATCGCTAGTTCATTGTATAGTTTGCTTTGTTTAAACTTTAAAATATACAAGTCAAGTTTATCATGTTATTATAATTTCCGATGTGAATTCATTCAGTATTGATTGATGGTAATGTATGAACCTGGGTATTTCCTAAAACAGCGACTAGCTACCAACGAATACACTTATGATTTTTGATACCTAACTGAACTGTGATACTCGCGCGACTTGTCAAGGGTATGAATTATGGAAAACCTTCCTTTAATCAGAAGTATTCAGAAGCAATCTGCAGACAATCTTCCAGTGACTTCGTCTAGCTAGGTCGAGGCAAGAGGGAGTGCCTGACTCTGCAGACTAGAAACGACCTCGTTATTTATAATACAACTTTCGTGAGACGTAACTAAATTAATTATTATGTTTTTCGACTTATTTACGTAATTATGATTGAGGAACTCTACTAGTTTCAAGCCATGCCAGAGTCTCATTTATGTTCGCATGTCGCATATCAGCGGGACAGTCGCCGCGTCGTGAATCGCGGAATGCTCCTCAAAAACATAGTAATTAAACTACCTCGTTACTATTTCTGCTTCAAGCCGGAGCCCCGGCAACCCGCTAGGTCTTCCGCAGCTCCGTTCAGGCATCGGCCCAATAAACATCCCCTGCGGCAGTGAACGTCTTCCAGTTACTGATGATGATGATGACGATAATGTATTTTGTTTCAGAATGCCAATCCAGGCGCCTCAATGGACGGATTATTTGAACTGTCCAGTGTGCTGCCGCGAATTTGGCGCTCCGCCCCGCAGTCCCATTAGCCTTGGGTGCGGCCACACACTATGTAGACACTGCCTCAAACACTTACATAGAAAGCAATGCCCGTTCGACCAGGTAAGCAAATATGTGTATCTATCTATATAAATAAAAATCTATTTCCGTTCGTTAGTCTCGCTAAAACTTGAGAACGGCTGAACCGATTTGGGTAATTTTGGTCTTGAAATGTTCGTGGAAGTTCAGGGAAGGTTTAAAAGGTGAGAAAAATCATTAATAGGCGGTACGAAGTTTGCCGGGCCAGCTAGTTATTTACATAAATATGTTAAGAAACTTTTGAAATTGCATACTGCTAAACATATCAGTATAACAATGAGCTCTAGTTTGTCAGCAATTGGTATAATTCCACTTCGACTAAGACTAGAATTAGACCCGATGTCGACCAAAAGACTAACCTAACTACTAACATGTGGGTAAATCCCCAACAAAGAACTCGTATGAGGAACTCACATTATTTTATCTAGGTACCGACTTCGTCTCTAAATGGGACAAATGATTGATCCGTCCTTTAAAATTTTCCTAATAGGTATTATTTATTTTTTATCTCATAGAATGAAGCAGTTATTAATATATTTTATCAGAGCTATATTGTCTATTAACTTTGCCTTCAGTTACTCTCATCGTAGTACCCAAGAGGCTTTGGTATTTATAACTAGGATTATTAATTTCCAAGCCACTACAGGCTAAGTATCGTGAGTCTAGACTATCAAGATGGCTATGATTATTTTTGGCTTTCCTTACAAAAAACGTTACAAATAATAGTAACAGTTATTGAATTTTAATAAATTATAACGTTGATTATATTACGATGTTAATTTTTACTTGTCGGTTAGGTTTCATCTTAATTGTTAAATCTATTAATATTGTAATATGTTATACTAGCGACCCGCCCCGGTTTCGTACGGGTGTAATATACATGATGCATGATAGATAGTGATTCTTAAGAATCACCAGCATCATCTATTGAAAAAAACCGCATCAAAATCGTTTGCGTAGTTTTATAGATCTATCTAAGCATACATAGGGACAGACAGACTGCGGATACCGACTTTGTTTTATACCAGGTAGCGATACTTAGTCACCGATCACCAAAGATACTGAAGTTAGTATTTCAGTCTTATAAACCTAAATGGCAGCAGATCTAGTTACTAAAGCTATAATTTTAACACAAGCTCCATACGAATTGGGAATCTACCGACATCTTGCTGAATTGGACAACCGTTTCTCGATAAGTCTGCAAAAATATTGATAAATATTAAAGCATACTGACCGTAAGTTCAAGTAAGGACATTTCATAAATGTTTTATGTATAGCTCCTCCGAGTAAACAACCTCCCCGTCGATTTTAGATGCAGTCCGCTTCAAATTCCGAATACATTAAGCAAAAGACAAACTCTTCACAGACAGACGCATGTAAATTAATCTAATGGCGTCATTGCCATCCTGTCGTGGTATTGGCCTTGGAATATATCTTCCTTCATTTACAATCACTTCATTTTGTCATGTATGATCTTTGATCAAGGTGAAAAGGGAAAATGGTCTATGAACGACCGACACAATGGGCAAAACAAATCACATCACAACTCATCCTATAAGTAGCCTCTCCTCACACCGAGAAGGCTCGAGCCTTAATCACCACGCTTGCTTAATACGGGTTCTCGGTTTTAAACTTTTAAACTTAAAAACCCAGGTTTCCAAGAAAGTATGTTTCCCTTCACCGTTTGTCAGTGGCGTCTAAATAATCTTAGAAAGGACACACAACTCGATAATGTCACATTGGTCCTTACCGTTGGTATGTTTCAAACCCGCACCCTCGTGCATGAGAAGCGGACGTCTTAAACCTCCGGTCCAACACGAACAAATGCTGTTAAATAATCATCATTTTCCTCTTCATAAAAATAGGGCGTATAAAGGCTTTGTCCGTCTTCCGTCTCATTTTATGGTGCTTACTCAATCAACGTGGATCTATAATTAAGCGCCCTTATAAGAAATTGTTTTATTTCCCAATGGCTTTGGCCAAAATTCGTAACCCCTTAAAAATAGGCGTTTAATTGTTTACCAAAAATAATTTCTTTGTACCTGTACCGAAAAGTTGCTGATAACTTACAAGTACTCCCTTCTCGTTACCCAATTAGCATATACCTACTTGTGATGTCCACGTGTTCTAGCATGCCAATTGAAGGGGAATGAGAGGGGTCTGCACGTGGAAGGAAGGTTGCTTAATCCTGTTCAGGAACGCTGATAAAATGATAAAGTGTTCCCCTAGCGGCTCAGTATTATTTACAATTTCAACCAGTTAATAACAGTTCCAATTAAGTATATTTTAACTTCGGGCGTTTCAGTCGATTTCCGTGTCCGTGGATTACAGTATATTTTAATTTAAGCGCCAAGGTTAATTTATAGTAACCGATTTTTTAGTCGTCCTCTGTCACGCACTGGATAGCCATGGATTGTCTACTGCCATTACAGTACATATATACTTGGGCATGGATATACACTTGGCTGGTCCAGTTCTTCAGCAACTATCTCATAAATAAAACACTCAGCGTAAGTATCCTTGCATTAGCTGTAATGTAGTTTTTCTACAATCGTCCACCGCTTAATAACGATGTCTAAGGAAACCTTCCATCGCTGCTCTCTTCTCAATATATTGCTATTATACCGACGAGTAGACAATTTTCGGTTCGCTGTTGTTTGATTTTCGGTTATAAACCAATGTGATTTTGACTTGTTATAACGTATACGTTCACTGTGTAGTTGTAGGTATAAAACAAAGCCTAAAAATGTTTGTTAGGTGAGGCAAATTACATACTCCGTCTAGTTTATGTTTACTAACTAGGGAGCAGCCGCCGCCTTCCCACGCACTATAACGCTGAAACCTAAAACTTACACCCAACAGTGCTGTGTGACCTTGAGAAGGTAAACACGCTAAATCCAATAACTAATCAAATATTCTAATAGCTTGTGAAATTGTACATTCAGACTGATAAATAAGAATGTTCAATACTTCTTGAGCGCAAGTAATATTGCATAGGCTTTAAAATTGAATCGTATTAAATACGCGGAGAGCTTATAGACTATTTTCCTTAACTCTATTTGTTCTGATGAAGTTTAATCATAAACCTACTTATATTGACTGTGTTTGACACTAATTTTACGTCTAATACATACATTTTTTTATCGGTAAAAAAGCGGTTATAGACTATTCGGCTCAACAGCACAAAAATAACCTCTTTAATATCTTCAAAAAATACTACAAATCCAAAGCGAGTTATGTATTTACGCATTAACATTAACAGCAATATAAAGAGAGAGAAACCTTGTCTTGTGAAATGGATCCAATGACTTCTCCTGCCGTGGGTGAGACGAGACACCCTGACACTCACGCGCGTACTGACATACCTGTCTTAAAACAGCATCTCCTACTTCATTCTTAGTGAATTAATAAGGTCGAAACGAAGTCGCAATTGTCAATGAATGGCCGAAATTAATAATTTCAAGTCATAGTCTGTGGATTAATATTGATTTTTATATTAGTTGGACAGAGCTTTTGGCAAAAACAAACATCGCTTCGGATATTTTGGATTAAGATGTTTGATATTCAAAAGTGAGACCTCGGAAGCACAGTTTTGTCTAACACGACTTCACTACTGCTTACATTATATCAATTAAGTATTCATTATCAATTTATCTCACCTGAAAGTACAATGAAACAACAATTATATAACATCACGTCCTTTATCCCCAAAGGGGTAAGAAGAGGTGCACATTACGGTACTTAATTCCGCTGTACAATGTGACATCCTCTTTTCACTATTTATGTTATGAGTTCCATGTAATATAGGGGGCGAGCCTATTGCCATATACCGGGCAAAATTCCGGACTCCGTGCTAATATTGAGCTTTTTTTGAAAAACCCTTTAGTGCTTTGTGCGACCCGGGAATCAAACTCAAGTGCCCTTGCCCAGCAGTCGCACTTGCGACCACTCGGCCAACGAGGCAGTCTACGACAATTAAAGTTCACATTAGTGAACTTTATAATAATTATATGAATAATTAAATGTCACTAATTGAAGGATAGGTTAATACCTAGCTCCTTCTAGTCCATAATTATTGACATTTAATTATGGACCTAGCTCCTAACATTCTATAAAAACCAAAATTCGTACAAAACTGTTATCACGAAAAAAATCTTCAACTATAGATGTAAAACTTTCTTTTTATATGACAATGCGCCATAATTGACGAGAGGCGGAGGATCCATTGAGACCAGCGATGAATTGGGTCAGCGCAGCGTCTTTAGATACTCAGACCGACGTTTGTGCAGTATTGGACACGTTCTTTGTTGACCACTTAGGTGTATGTGCTTTTGTGCTTTGGACCTAGGATTTGTCTCCAGTCGTTCAACCTGAACGGTCTTCAGCACCTACTTCGATAGTTTGTCTTGTGTTTTTGCGACTATGGGACGACGCCGAGTTGGGAGGCGAGCGCGCAGGAAAAGCTTTGAGTGGAGTGATCACCTACCAACTTTCCTTGCTTCTTTAGATGTATGTACATACTCCTAATTTTTATAAAATTGCATGTTCAGTTAGATATGTCCTAGGCTCTGTTGCCACAGCCATATCCCAGTTATTAGGTTAATTAGTGAATTTTCCGCTTAACACGTGTTAAAGTGAAAACATAGAAATGTTCGGAATAACACACGTGCGTCACATGGTTTTCGTCTGCCCTGTAATCATTGCCGAATTTAGGGTGGCAACCATGTCATCTGTGAATTGGATAGAAACGTACCTTGTTGGATGATTATGATGTGCAAGACAATTTTTTGCAAGCTTAATTTACATTCGAAATTAAGTAAGTCCCAAGTAAGGCATTTTGATTTATTCATTTTTGAATGACAGTATCTATTAAAAAAAATATTTCAATTTTTTTTTCTAATATTCTGCTTACGGCGGCGGGTGGCGGGTGTTGTTCCTATTCAAATCTTAATTTTTGGATTTTGTTTTCAATTTTTTTTTGTGAATTGATTACGTAATAAAAGAAAATCATAAGTAAATAATAG